TATCAGACTGAATGGTCGGCACCCACACATTTTCACCTCACCAAATTTGGCCCTCCTTGCAAAAAGTTTGGACACCCCTGCCCTATACTATTTCAGATAAATGCCTGTTCAGTCTTTTCTTAAAAACTTCCAGTGATTGAACACCCAGAACTTATGGAGACAAGCAGATCCACTGGTTAATTATTGTCACTGTCAGCAAGTTTCTCCTCAGTTCTAGGTTGCTTCTCTCTTTGTTCAGTTTCCATCCATTGCTTCTTATTTGCATTCTGCTTCTTTGGAAAATACATTGTCCCCCTTTCTTTGTGGCAGCCCCTTAAAAGCCTGTTGTCTATCACACTCTTGGGCAAAGCATGTGAGCCATTTCCTCCTTTCAGTCATCCATGAAAGTACATCTATCTTTTTTAGTATGACAAAAAAAGTGAACAACATTATTACAGAACTATAGATACATTGAGGCTGGGTGTGACAAGGAATGGCTGGGAGTGAAGGTGCCAGCAAGGCACCCATTGACATGAGTGACATTGAGTTGACCCAGAAACATGACCACCAAGCCATGCCCACCAAATAAGCCACACCCACAGAACCGGTAGTAAAAAAAATTGAATCCCACTACTGAGACACACACACACTCACACACACACAAATTGACAGACAGTGGTTGCAAAAGATATCTAAAGGGTGCAGATGGAATGGAAAAAATAAAACTGGGATTTTTTTTTGAGGTTTTCTTTGGAATTGAAGGTAAAATTTATTTTAATTGACAAATACAATGGTTAACATGAAAAACATTGGACTGTATTTAGAATTATATCAAAATTATAAAGTAACATCTAAAAGATGCTGTACAGAAGCTTATTTTAAATAGGCAAATTATCAATTTATCCATGAAAATTATATAACAAGGAAGAGAAGAGAAAGTGCTGATTGTAATAGTACTTTGAATTCACAAAATGAGATTAGATATATGATTTGTGTTGCAAGAATTTCTATCTTGCCACTTGTGACTTGGTCACCTGCCTTCTGCCAGAATGGATTGACTGCTGAGATCTTTGGCTCTTTATTACCAACATCTTGGCTTTGTAGCCTGACTGGATTTTTTCTTCTTCTTGATCTTGGTTTCCAGTAGATTATTTTTGGCTGTGGATTTGGTAATGAATGTCTTTCAAAATAATAAAATGTTATTTAGATGAGAATAGTCATGAAATCTCAGAAGAGAAACTAATTTAGTATAAAATTGATGGCTTGGTGACTTTGGGCAAGTTATTCTCTCTCAGTCCAACTCATCTCACAGGGTTGTTGGTGGGGAGGAAATAGATGGAGGAAGCTGCTTTGAATTATTTGTAAAATTAATAAGGATGAATAAAAATGGACAAATAACAGGATGCAGGGAATAAAAAATAATTGTTCTCCTATTTCATCTCTGGTTTCTGTATTTCTCCTGGTACTTTTATAGTTACACTGCAATTCTTTTTCTGTGTAAATGTCAGTTAAAATAACAGGGCATCTATCCTGGAAAAATCCACAGCCTGGCTTGCATCTCTAGCAGCATCAAACATAATCTGAGGGAAAAAAAGAACTGTCAGATTTATTTATGCATCTCATACAAGTAGCCCTTGACTTCCAACTGTAATTGATGCCAGAATTATGTTTGTAAATCCTTGTGATCATTGCAGGAACCAGCAAAAAACAATGTGTGTTGCAGTCATGTGATCACAGAATGCTGCAAACAGCCATAAACATGAGCCAGTTGCTAAGTGCCCTAAATGTGATCACATGACTGTGGGATGCATAGGGCTATTGTAACTCTGAAAACAGGTGACAGTACCTCTGGGATATCAATTGTAACCATAGTCAAGGACTGCCTGTATGAGAGATTCTATTGCTATACCTCCCATCCTATCAAAGCATTCCCATTAGAACTGATGGATATGATCTGTTGTGATTGGAAGGATCGGTCCTGTTGGGAGTTTTGACTCTGATGACTGTTAGATCGTGGATTGA